ACCCTCACTCGGGTCCCGGCCACATGTTGTTGCCTGTAGAGCTTCCAACTTGTAAGACGTACAGCTTTCACCTTGTAGAATGCAGCGACCCCGGTCCCTCTCAGGGATGCACCTTACATCCTCCCGGGTCGGGGCCGCTCCGCCCTTGGCCCCGCCCGCCTTCTGGAGCCTTCCAGCTCTCTCTTGATACCTCTCGAGAGCTCTCCCCAGACACGTGATCACCCCCTAGCCCCCCCCCACCTGGGGCCCTCTCTGTGGACACTCCGGATCACGTGTCTATGGGGTCAACTAGAGTGCCATGGCCCAGGGCAACCCTGCCCCTGGGCTGACACTCTCCCACTCCCTACTGGTGGGAGCCCGCACTATACGCTATGCGTGGTGCCCGCGCTATCCCAGCGCTCACCAAGTTCCGCTAAGGCTGGTGCTACACCCGCCTACGGGGTGTACGCGATGACAGTGCATCGCACGCCGTGCTATGCTAGAGCCGGCCTCACACAGCAACCCACCCGGTGCTGTCCGCGATGTAAGGACATCGCACGCCACAGCCCTCTCGGGCCAGCACCATACAGTGACATCCCCAATGTCACTACATCACCCCCCCCTTCATGGCATTCAGCCATCCCGGCTATCAACTCCCTCCTCCAAACGAACAATGAAGTGAAATGTAAGGAAAACACAGTGTGCCTCAATAATAGAAGAACAAAAATAAATACCCAAACCCACCTGTACAAAAATTACACTATACACAAATGTACAAACCAACAGGGAGAAAGGTGTAAACCAACAAACCCATAATAACAACACCACATCTACAAGCAATATATATAAAAAAATGCGTAAACTCCCGGGATCTCCCCTATCATCACACCTCCCACCTTCACTGTGCAACAATGCTCGTGAGCTCAATGGCGGCCAGGATCAGCCAATAACCACCACGACTCAGCGGGCACGACGAGCAACTGACAGCGTGGGAGCGTGTGTGCATGGGGATCACGAAAAACGAGTCTTTGAGCGAGTGCATGATGCCGGGCCCCTAGGGGAGTTGGGCTTGCTCACCATGGAGGTCCCGGGGGGAATGTGTAAATGTTCCACCGAACACAGCTCCACACGGAGAGCAGTAGGCCGGGTCGATGGAACCTCCACGCCCGAAGCCTGCGAAGCTGGCATGCGCGGCCGCGCAAGGGATGTTAAGTCGCGCAACACCTGGGAGCAGAACAGAATCGCTTCGCCCGGGATCAACCGCAGCTTGAAGGCCACCCAGTCGCCACAGGTAGCCGCGAACTCTCAAGCAAAGGGAGGCCGATGCTGGAGAGCCGGGATGTCCCTCAGCGCCGACGGCACATCTTTAATTTTGGCGGGCTGCGTGCTCTGCGCCGGCGACAAAATGGCGGCCGAATGCGCGGGCTGTCCCACCGAGTTTCCGGCCAGCTGCAAAATGGTGGCAGAGTCGTCGTCCACAAGCGGCATCACCGCTCCCTCCTTCACCGGCGAATCCCTGGGACCGAACTCCGTGAGGAGTGAAGTCGCAGCGTGGAGGAGCTCCTTGAGGTGATCGTGCGCCTCCCGGAGTGTCGCCTCCGCCGACGGCGAAGCATCGAGCACCCAGATGGCGCCCTGCTCCACTGGCAGCCTTTCCCCCGCATCCTCCAAAGCTGTAGGCGGCACGAGGTCCTCGTCCTCGCCGTCCGACGTCCTGCTACGTGGTCTGTGGTGCGTAGACATAGTCTACAGCTAGCTGTATAAACTAGTGTGTTGGCCACTTCCGACACCAGTTGTAGTCAGTTCAACTGAATCGCAGACGTTGTTCTTTAGAGGCAACACATTTATTATAACATCAACACGTTAACACAAAGGGGTAACTGCCCTTTTACCAGATACAGCCTAGGGTGGTGACCACCCAGCTAACTACCCGATATGGAGGAGTTACAGCTACGAAGGGTCTGACCCTCACTCGGGTCCCGGCCACGTGTTGATGCCTGTAGAGCTTCCAGCTTGAAAGACGTACAGCTTCCACCTTGTAGAATGCAGCGACCCCGGTCCCTGTCAGGGACGCACCTTACATCCTCCCGGGTCGGGGCCGCTCCGCCCTTGGCCCCGCCTGCCTTCTCGAGCCTTCCAGCTCCCTCTTGGACATTCTGGATCACGTGTCTATGGGGTCAACCAAAGTGCCATGGCCCAGGGCAACCCTGCCCCTGGGCTGACACTCCCCCTGGTGGGAGCCCGCACTACACGCTATGCGTGGCGCCCGCGCTATCCCAGCGCTCACCAAGCCCCGCTAGGGCTGATACTACACCCGCCTACGTGGTGTACGCGATGACAGTGCATCACACGCCGTGCTATGCTAGAGCCGGCCTCACACATCAACCCACCCGGTGCTGTCCGCGATGTAGGGACATCGCATGCCATGACCCTCTCGGGCCGGCACCATACAGTGACATCCCCGATGTCACTACACATATGTACACGTGGGTGTACACACATGCACACTCACTCCCAGTGCGAGGCTGACTCATCACATCTCGAGGATCGCTGCACTGAAGAAAATGGTTCCATGGTTCAGTTTGCAAATGTCAGTTAACATTTAAAGTCAATGTATGTTTTTAAAATATATATTTCATTGAAGCTGGCTTGTAAATGCAAGTGTTCGTCAGTCAAGAACTGCCTGTACAGTGACACTCCCATATGCAACATGGGTTTTCTCCCGCCACTCCGGTTTTATCACACAAGCAACACACATTATCTAAAAAAAATATTACCGAGTCATCTAGTTGTAAGACTCTTATTGAAAAGGGAATTCAAACTCCATGAAGCTTTCCTAGACAAATAAATTGCATAAAAATATACATGCTTTATATAATAATTGAGTAAGACTCTTTTTTAAGTGGTGGTTTTAGGATGTTCATAGGATGTTTACCGTCAACTTTATGCAGAATTTGTTTTGGGTAATATCACCTGGCAAGAGGAGTCAACTGTTATGAATGCTGAAAATATCCAGAATGTGTTTAAGTGACAAGATTAAATGATAATAGGTTTTCCCCCTTTTTTCTGGCAACAAAACAGGTGTTAAGATGATTCCTTGTAAAATGTTTCAGTTTGGTGTTTTAACATCTTAACACCTGTTTTGTTGCCAGAAAAAAAGAGGAAAACCTATTATTACATTTTGGTACTGGCAAAGGAGGTCCCATGATGTAGATGCCACCCCGAGCTCTCATTACTCTGATAGTGCATTGTCTTTGGGCTGTACGCCTTTGGCGTCCTCTGGTCTAGCATCGTTTGAGACAAGGCTCAAAAGAAAGCTGACCCTGGTGTGGACCAATCAGTTTCAAGGACAATTCATATATTATCAGAGTATGTTTTTTGTTTGCATTCTGACCACAAGCATTGTGGTTAATGCAGACATGATTCCTTGTAAAAAGTTTCAGTTTGGTGTTTTAACATCTTAACACCTTTGGAACCTCCTTTGCCAGTAGCAAAATATGATAATTGGTTTCTTACCCTTTAATCTGGCAACAAACTGACACCTTTTGGCGTCATCTGGTCCAACACCATGTGAGACTAGGCTCTCAGGAAAGCTGTCTCGGGTGTGGACCAATCAATTTCAAGGACAGTGCATACATTATCAGAGTTATGTTTTTTGTTTGCATTCCGACCGCAGGTATTGTGGTCAATGCAAACATGACTCCTTGTAAAAAAGGTGTCAGTTTGTTGCCATAAAAAAGGGAAAAACCCTATTATATTTTGGTACTGGCAAAGGAGGTCCCATGACAAGATTAATGTACAATTTTTGGGAGGTGAATTTCTTAGTATGTCTGATGAAGGATATTTGTACATCTGCAAGTGTTAAGCAATACATTTGAAGCAATCTAGAACTTTTGGTTGGCTCTACTGACTAGTAAAACCAGCAGACTACATTGCTAAACATTTATATATGTACACAAAGAGAAAGGTCACTTTAATCACACAGAACCCGAGAGTAAGTGTTGTTTGTGGCCACCGAATTATGAACACGGTATACAAGTTTGATTACGTCATCACTATGCTCTTCTCCCTTTGTCTCCCATTTTGTTTTTGACACGACTGACCGGATAGGTCTGCCGTATTTGGGCTAAGTCAACCTAGGGGAGGCACAGTTCAGGTGTATACATCAAAGGCTGCCAACGACGTGAGTCTTAGCCAGGAATCAAACCCAATATGTTAGCTTAGTCAAAAAAACATTATGGCATGACTTTTCGCAACATATACATGACGTGCATATAAGCATTCAAACACTCTTATATATACACATTCATGAAAATACCAGTCAGCTCATATGATGAATTCATACTCTTCACTTAGTGGCATAAATACCAGCTGTTAGCACCAACCATAGTAAGCTCACCACCTATTATACACATCTTTAAATCTGCATTATAACTAAGGAGTATCGAGTATGGACAATAATCATTTAGATCATTGCTTAAAAAATGCATTTAAAAGTTATTCCAAGCAAATGAAAATAGAGTCTGAAAGTTTTTTTTACCAGGCAAGAACTTGAGGATTTATTTTTACAAGGTCGACCTGGTCAAGCTGGTGATACGAGTGAAATGGAGAGGTAACACAAGAAAACAAGGTATTACAAGTTATCGTAAACATTGATGTAAGGTACAGAATGTAATGAAATACATATATTATAAATTAACAATATCACAAGAAGAAAACAAACACTTCAGAGCATACTAAGTAAAACAGGCAATGGATTGTAATGGATCGGCGTTTACAGCAGCAAGCATTGATGGATAAATTCAGTGTCGTTGTGCTGCCACAATACACAGCATTGACTCGATCTGTTACCAATCATAAACGTGTATTCAGCTTCATTGCAAACCCACTGGAAAGTACTCCACTCCGTTGTCCCGGTGCGCAAACCGAGTCGGCTCCCTCCCTAGCGGCTGTGGAACTGCCACGGCAGGACACACAGCAACACTCCGCTTCGACGCCGTTTGCGAGCGAGCGTTTCTTACCATTTGGTCGCTCATGTTGCTGCCATTGCTGTCAGAGAGCTGGGGGTCTGCAGAAGGGCCCCCCAACGCAGAGCCCTCACCCCAAGCAGGGTCCACCAAGCTGTAGTTCCCCGGTTCTGCATCCACCCCGAGGGGCATCGATCCCTCCTCCATGAGGTCCGCGTGACGGCAGCTGCCACATATCGATCAAATTAACATCACAATATATTAATGTTTACCATCACGCGAACTCCGCTCATCCTCACTGCATCAGCTTTTGGCAAGCCAGCGAATAAACCCGGTCACCGCGTCGCGCACTTTCTTACGTGTATTTGCAATTGTCTGGAAAGCCCTTCCTTCTGATATTCGGAAGCCACTGGAGCTATGATGCACTTTTAAATCATCTACATTGAAAACTCGTTTCTTTAGAACTACGTTTTGTGTTTAGTTTGTTGTCCTTCCCCCGCACCTCCGATTAACAGTTGGCTAAGTATGGTGCGAAAGGAGTTCAACATGCATCACGAATACAATGTTATTCATTAAAATAATTGTTATCATCACCATTAATGTCATATCTATTATTGATTAAATGATGAGCAAAACCATCGCTATCATACATGAAGTAATACTCGTAACTTCAATCATAACCTATTTGGATTAAGGATGACACAAAAATCATCAATGACCACTTCAGCCTTCGACTACTGTACTGCAACGCTTTGACAATTCACTTGTTTTTACAAGGCAAAACACATTTAACGCACATCATGTCATTCGCCGCAACTATTTAATCGTAAAACAACCCGAATCGTCTGCTGAAGGCAATCAAATCTCGCGATGCACATTCGTGACTACTGCCACCGAACAAGAAGACCACATCAACAACACACCGCCGAGTGTTCAAGCTCTGCACGATACATGAACCGCTAATTAACACAACGAAGCCTCAGCAACACTGGTTGCGCTTTTCCACTCTACACACACATACCCCACGCATTACAACCACAGTGCAACACATCCCGAGAGCGTGCCCATGTAGGGAGAGGGAACATGCACTCCCTGGTGCGACGACGCTCATCGCAACGGATCCATTCACAAAAAAAAACCTCCAACGCCAACCTTTCTCTCCGACACTGAATCCACCACTGGCGCACCTCGGAGCAAATAGAGGACAGCCTCTCGGCGATTGTGCGCGTGTGCTTCAAATCTGTAACTTATATAGGTCTTGCATATATATATAAATATATACACACTCACGCACACGTACGCACGCTGCGCCAGTATATGTACATGAGCAAGAGACGCATGCGCGCACAGCGACGGCACGCAGTGTAATTAAGCGCCCGAGAGCAATTTCAGGAGCAAGATCAATGGTCGAAAGTGGGTTAGAGAACGCCAAAGAGTGGAGAGAGAGTGCAGCAGCAGCAGGAGGAGGGGAGGCGAGCGCTCGGAGTGACGGCTGTCCATGCGCTTCTGGCGGGCGTTCTGTACCGCACGCGTTCTCCATAAGTGTTACGTGCGCCTCCGCGTCTCTCTGTCAGTGTGGCTGTGTGTTTGTCTCTATGAATCTCTGTGTGCGTCTCTCTGCGTCTCTGTGACTGCGTCTCTGTCTCTCCCCGTCTTTGTCTATGTGATTCTGCTCTCCATTTCTCAATGTCTTTGTCTCTTCCCCGTTTCTGTCTCTGTTGCTTTTTCGCCATGTCTCTTTAGGCACAGGCTACCAATTAGTACTCAATGCATACAGTCATGAAACAGAGTAGGTCAAATAAATGTTTACTATCGTAATGCATAAAATAAAACAACCATCACATGAAAACTGTTCTTAAGTGATCAATGACTGGATTTCGTGAGCGTTATTAATGTTGTCGTGTTGTGTTTAATGTGGTTGTGTGTGCGCGTTGACATGCCACCAGCAAGTCCAATTCCATCCGCTTTAGCCCCCCCCCGCCCTCATCGTTAGAGCTAAATTCTGACCCGATGCGCCCTGACAAGTTGACAAGTGACGCAAATGAACATTGTATTTTTTCTGGATTTTCTACCCTGTCCGATGCATTGAATCCCCTAAAGCACAATGGCAAGCAGAATGGCAAACCCACACGTAGTACACTCAAGTTCAAAGATACACATGGACTAGCCGGACACACTCGGGACGCATGTGCATAACATGCATAGAGTACCAGATTCCGCCTTATGCCAGTTGCCATCGTCTTTGGTCGGCAGCACAGAGTGACCCGATCATTCCACCCACTGAGAGATGGACCCAGTGTTTGGCACTCACTGCCCGTCATTGTCCCTGAGTTAGGATATTAAAATTATTTTGCTGCTATAAATCTACACATAAGCCACTTTGTTGCACTATCGTTTGTGGACAGGTCGCTTCTGAAAAAGCTCAAAGCTCAGTGAGCTTTACCTGGTAACATAAAAAATATTTAGTTATATTTGTATATTTTTGAAAGTTATTTGTTTACCTTTTCTATACTTTGCACTCTTATCGTGTGTTTGTATTCATACTCTTTGGTTCTATTCGGTAAAGTCACGTAGGCAAAAAATAAAATAACAAAAAATCACGACGTTTCGGCCACAACACAAGTGGCCTTCATCAGGTGAAAGGACCGTGCTGTCATGAGGACAGCGTTGGAGTGAAAACAGCCAAGCCCAGGTCGCGTCCTTTAAGCTGTGTGGGAGGAAGCAAAACGCTTTGACAAAGGAATTAGCATAACAAATGAGCATGATGTACGTAGGAGGTGCATGGGCCATGATGGACCAGGAGCGGGTGGGGACCATGACGGACCAACAGCAGGGGGGGGGGTGTAGAGTGAGTGAGTGGAGTGAGTGAGTGGAGTGAGTAGAGTGAGTGAGTGAGTGGAGTGAGTGAGTGAGTGGAGTGAGTGAGTGAGTGGAGTGAGTGAGTGAGTGGAGTGAGTGGAGTGAGTGGGTGGAGTGAGTGAGTGAGTGGAGTGAGTGAGTGGAGTGAGTGAGTGGAGTGAGTGGAGAGAAATAAGCGGTTGTGAAAGTTTGGGATACCGCTACTTGAAAAAATATAGTGTACCATTGAAAATAGTTTAATGTTTGGTTTGATTTAAAACATGTTTCAATGATTGCTTAATTTGAAACCATCCTCTAGGTTGAAATTGTGTCTGTGTTTGTAAATCTGAATTGCCTCGTGGACAAATCTCTGATGAAAAAAAACCCGTGGGTTTTGCGTCCTTTAAGCTGTGTGGGAGGAAACAAAACGCTTTGACAAAGGAATTAGCATAAAAATGAGCATGATGTACGTAGGAGGTACATGGACCATGATGGACCAGGTGCGGGTAGGGACCATGACGGACCAGCAGCGGGGGGGGGGGGGGAGTAGAGTGAGTGAGTGGAGTGAGTGAGTGGAGTGAGTGAGTGAGTGGAGTGAGTGAGTGAGTGGAGTGAGTGAGTGGAGAGAAATAAGCAGCTGTGAAAGTTTGGGATACCACTACTTGAAAAAAAAATTACTGTATCATTGAAAATTAGTTTAATGTTTGGTTTGATTTAGAACATCTTTCCAATGATTGCTTAATTTGAAATCATCCTCTCGGTTGAAATTGTGTCTGTGTTTGTAAATCTGAATTGCCTCGTGGACAAATCTCTGATAAAAACCTGTGGATTTGCAGAGAACCTTGGTATCAGAGAAAACTATATCGTGATCACCCACAGCGTTGTAACAGTGGTCAGCTACGGCAGAAGAATTCGTTCTGCCGTGTTTCAAATCTGATTTGTGCTCGCGAATTCGGTCAGAGACATTTCGCTTCGTCTCTCCGATATAGCAATCACCACAAGTGCAGCTCAATTTGTAAACCCCGGGGTACTGTAAGTCAGGAATGACATCCTTCACGGATGGGATCAGGTCACGGATTTTGTGTACTGTATTGAACCGGACCAGGATCTTGTGTTTGTTTAGAATTTTGGAGATCTTTTTGGTAACGCCTGCTATATATGGTAGTGTGATGGTTTTGACCGGAGTATCAAGTGGTTGTTTCTGTATGGAGGGAGAAACAGCTTGGCGGATGGTGCTGTCAGAGTATCCATTTCTCTTGAGGGCCAGGTGTACATGTTTTAATTCACTGGTCAGGTGGTGTTGGCCAAGCTGTTTCTCCCTCCATACAGAAACAACCACTTGATACTCCGGTCAAAACCATCAAACTACCATATATAGCAGGCGTTACTAAAAATATCTCCAAAATTCTAAACAAACACAAGATCCTGGTCCGGTTCAATACAGTACACAAAATCCGTGACCTGATCCCATCCGTGAAGGATGTCGTTCCTGACTTACAGTACCCCGGGGTTTACAAATTGAGCTGCACTTGTGGTGATTGCTATATCGGAGAGACGAAGCGAAATGTCTCTGACCGAATTCGCGAGCACAAATCAGATTTGAAACACGGCAGAACGAATGCTTCTGCCGTAGCTGACCACTGTTACAACGCTGTGGGTGATCAAGATATAGTTTTCTCTGATACCAAGGTTCTCTGCAAACCCACGGGTTTTTATCAGAGATTTGTCCACGAGGTAATTCAGATTTACAAACACAGACACAATTTCAACCGAGAGGATGGTTTCAAATTAAGCAATCATTGGAAAGATGTTCTAAATCAAACCAAACATTAAACAAATTTTCAATGGTACAGTAATTTTTTTTTCAAGTAGTGGTATCCCAAACTTTCACAGATGCCTATTTCTCTCCACTCACTCACTCCACTCACTCACTCCACTCACTCACTCCACTCACTCACTCACTCCACTCACTCACTCACTCCACTCACTCACGCCACTCACTCACTCCACTCACTCACTCTACTCCCCCCACTCCCCCCCGCTGCTGGTCCGTCATGGTCCCCAACCGCGCCTGGTCCATCATGGTCCATGCACCTCCTTCGTACATCATGCTCATTTTTATGCTAATTCCTTTGTCAAAGCGTTTTGTTTCCTCCCACACAGCTTAAAGGACGCAAAACCCACGGGTTTTTTTTATTTTTATCAGAGATTTGTCCACGAGGCAATTCAGATTTACAAACACAGACACAATTTCAACCGAGAGGATGGTTTCAAATTAAGCAATCATTGAAACATGTTCTAAATCAAACCAAACATTAAACTAATTATCAATATATTTTTTCAAGTAGTGGTATCCCAAACTTTCACAACTGCTTATTTCTCTCCACTCACTCACTCCACTCACTCACCTCACTCACTCCACTCACTCACTCCACTCCCCCCCCCCCCCCCCGCTGCTGGTCCGTCATGGTCCCTACCCGCACCTGGTCCATCATGGTCCATGTACCTCCTACGTACATCATGCTCATTTTTACGCTAATTCCTTTGTCAAAGCGTTTTGCTTCCTCCCACACAGCTTAAAGGACGCGACCTGGGCTTGGCTGTTTTCACTCCAACGCTGTACTCATGACAGCACGGTCCCTTTACCTGATGAAGGCCACTTGTGTTGTGGCCGAAACGTCGTGATTTTTTGTTATTTTATTTTTTACCTACGTGACTTTACCGAATAGAACCAAAGAGTATGGATCCTTGCAGTCACGAAAGCTTCAAATCTAGAATGTGTTTGTATTGTTCGTTGTTATAACCGTCTGACCTGTGAGAAAGAGATTTATAGCTCATCGGATTCCTCCAGTATAAACATGCTGATTCTGAAACCCCTCAGCCCAGATAACATCATGCAAAGTGGGGTTGACCTTGCTGAGGCTGATGTACCTCATATATTGAAGGAATTAGCCACCCCCTGAGACCAGGAAACACACCCGACAGAGTTAACCTTCCAAGCAAACGGCTGAGGGAAGGTGGCGATTTGTGCAGGCTGCCCTATGTGGAATACTTATTACCATCTGGACCACAGGTCAGGTTTCTAGGAATAAAAGGATGCCCTGGTGGTTCCCCTTTTCAAGAATGGGGACTGCACTGCTTGGAACAAATAGAGGGGCATCTTCCACATCAGTATGCCATGAAAGATACTGACAAGGATTATTCAAGGTCGCCTTGCCAGGCACATTGGTTTCAGAATTGTCAGTCCTGCACTCACGCCATATTCTCTGTCCGTCTGCTACAACAAATATATAGGGAATTTCAACAGGACCTACATTCCTGATTTCTTTACCTGGTCAAGGCCTATGATATTATGAATAGGCCAGGGCTATAGCATATTCTTCACACTTTCAACATCCCTAATCATCTGCTCACAATCATTTATGACAATCATGATGGTCGGCAGGCCCAGATAAAGCTACATGACTGGGAGTCAGAGCCATTTACTGTTCACATTGGGGTGCGACAGAGGTGTCTGCTGGCTAATGCATAATTTAACATATTTTTTGACGACATAGTTCAAGAACCTTTTCACGGCTGTACCAGATGGAAATTCCTCTGGTACAACGATGAAAAGCTTCTCGAACTGGAAGGCTCATCAGTGCCCAGCTGATGATCCTGTAATCGCTACTCACTCTGAGACGTTGGAGAAGCTGCTGAACCTGGAGCGTGCCACTAAGAGATGGGACTTTATCATGCACCCCACCAAAACAAAGCACCTGTCTGGGTATTTTATCTCGACTCAAGACGGAAATGTCCAGTGAACCTTACAAAGCCTAACCATAGCGCTTTTGTGAGAGCCTTTGGACTGTAAGAATGGCACGAATATCAATACACTCATTTATTTTATTCATAGAGACTCGTATAGATACGTACATACTCAAAGGACGCAGATAATTGGGACACATAACTCACACAGACTTTCACAGACGCACACAAACACCACCAGAGACACGCAGACGCACTCTTACAATACTTAAGACGTGCATCATGTTGTTCGCTGGACCAAAAAAAAGGCGCTCTTACCAACGCTCTGGCTACAGAGCCACAGAACCAAGTCCCAGCGACGTCACGAGCTCATTCGCATAACGGACGGCCTCGGTTTCCCACGCGTTTTCCACTTCACTTTGTGGTGCGCA